GCAGGAATACGCATATTTATTTATTTATTTATTTGTATCCAAACAGACCAAAGGTCTAATTACATGGATAATTAATATAAAATAATCTTCACATTTCAATAATTATAATCATAAGAGTCAGTTGTGTACCTACTCAAAAACTTTGAGGTTGAATAGCAATGAACTATATATACTCTGTTATTGAATATAGTTGTGCAATAAAATCGATAATGGTAATATATGTAAATTAGCTTATCAATAGAAAATCATATTCGTGCACAGATGAAAATACTAAATGTAATAAATTTGTATGCGTATCAAACAGATGTAGTCAAGAAAAAATTTAGTATTGGTCTACGATATTGCTCTGATATTCATGTTTTGTCATATACTAACTGATATGTCGGCTATGCCAAATTTGTCAAATACGAGTTGTGTTCAAAAAATAAGGTACACTCGATTAGAGATTTTTTATTATTTCATGTTGATACACTTGTTTCGAGAATATGTTCATAGTTTCAGCTGTTCAGTATAATTAACTTGATGGTGAGAGGCATAACAGTTAGAAATGTTTTGTGTGTTCGGCAATTTTCTGCTATCGAACAACACTCAGGAATTGTTGAATGACGTTAACGGCGATTCACATTTGCTTTAAACGGTCATAACTGGTGACACATCATGGGTATGTGGTCATGACATTGAAACCAAAGTCCAATCGTTATTTTTCGGTCAAAAACAACACTGTAATCATGACACAGCCACTATATTCACCAGATTTGCACCGCTGTGACTTTTTCCTGTTGAAGATTGAAGAGACATTTCAAGGGGCGTCTTTCCTCGACATTTGAAGAGATAGAAACTGAATCGCTGAGATAGCTCAAGGACAAATCAAAAAGTGCATACCAGAACCGTAATATATGAATATTATGTTCACTGAGGTTTCGAACCGATCGTGTTATTATTCGACCTGGATGTGTCGTTTTTATCTACCATTCTGAGATTTTGAATATTGTGTTATGTGCTAAATGAATAGTTTTTCGAAATTTTTTCATCATTTCTAGAGGCTGTATCACGAACAAGGAGCAATCTTGCGATGCCATTGTTTATTGTTTATTTATTCAGCTCTCAAGAAATACTCATATAAACATTTTGTTTCAATATTGTAATTTTTGATAAATAAACATTATTATTATATTATACTGCCTCGTGGGTTGTGCTACCTTTCGGGCGCGTCCTCAGGTGGCGGATAGGGAAACGGTTAGGGGACTGGAGGCCCTGTCTGGGAGCCAATGTGGTCTTACGGACGGGGTTGCCGGACTCCAGCCAACCCAAGCTAAGGTGTAAGGAATCGTGCCGACAGATGAATGGCCGCAGAGTTACAAACGATCCCCTTGGGAAACTGGGCGAAACCCCAATCTAATCAGCCTACCTCTGGTAATGTGGGGCTCTGCCAGAGGTGACCAACTCTTCCCTTGCTACTCGTGGGAATACACATGAATGAAATGAACACAAAAACAGAAACAACGAAAACAAAACCAATCCCAAGGCTGGGCAAAAGCGCTAACCTCAATCTAAGGCGGTGGCTGGTGATGAACAGAAATGTCCACCACAATCTACCGCTTGGAATGAGGCTGGATACACAAAGGCCAAGGCGTAAGCGCATTTGCGGCGCCGAGGCCAGAAGGAGAAAGAGAGCGAACGGGGCAGGAGTGGCAGCCGCTATAAGTGCACCCTCCTCCTCCCCCACTCGACTTCCAACAGCAAGGGCACTTCCTTCGACGGGCGCCAAGGGCTCCGCCTTGAATAAAGGCAAAAAACCGGCTGTCCCTGCAGGAAAGTTCTCTCACTTGTGCACCTCCACGGAGGAAACCCCAAGAAGGTTGAAGAAACCGCGCAACGAGAGTTATGTCGCTGCATCTTCCAAAACCTTTGCGAAGGCCACCGTGAGACATCTCAAGGTTGTCAAAGAGAGAGAGTGTTCGGCGATTCTTGGCCTACACCTGCCAATATAAAGGAGATGTCTCCTAGTGACCTGTACACCTTCCTGGAAAGTACAGGATGGACGATGACCTAGGAGGACAACTCCTCGGGAGGATGTACAATAGGTCACATGTGGCCTAAGTACTGTGGGTCTACCCATCCTCCCATCCACCTGAGGGGGACTACTTTCAAGGGTAAAAATTAGAAATTGGTACCTAGATGAATGAATATTTTTTTAGAAAATTCAAAATTCACCTTATTTTTTGAACATACCTCATACAAATTCATTTTTCATATTCAGTATTGACGCTTAGAATGTATTGTGATTGTAGAATTCTCACCCAGTACTTCTTGTTGAGGTAGCCAGCTGTAAATTTTTAGATTACTAGGTTTTTCGTCAAGATCACTTTCGAATTTCCACAAAACTTTTTGCTTGATTTTAGAAAATACTCGCAATATTGCCCTTTTCTTTTCCGGGTCAAGATCTTTGCTTTTCAAATTGGATCCCAAGGAGAAAACGACAACACCTTCTGTGGCATTATCCATGAACTCTTTGATGTCTTTCGGTAACGCTTTCAAAGGCCCAACGTGGTGTCCTCCTATATTTTTTATATTTGGTTGAAGAGGTATAGGATCATGAATGCTGATATCAGACATAACGAACATCAAACTGGCATTGTACAAGATAGTTCTCAGCTGTGGAGCATTGGGAATTGTAGCTTTCAATACAGCATTCTGATCTGGAAGTAGTCTGAATTCAACGAAAGCTGCTGAAAGTAAATCCAGAAAAGTATTCGACAGTCTTTCCCAGAAGTTCATTTTAGAACCATAGCCCGTTAAGAGATTGGGCATGTATGACGAAAAAGATGGATTAGCTAATAGGTGGCTGTTGAAAATTGTAGTTGGTCCCGGAGCAACGAAAATCAATGGGCACTTGAAATGATGAGCAAATATTGTGAAAGCTTCATTCCAGAAGTGTTCCATGATCACTAAATCGAACTTTTCATCGGAATTCAGAAGAGCCTGAACATTTTGGTTCTTCAATACTATCTCCGTATAAATTCTGGCCATTTCCAGCATGAATTGCAGTTGGCCCCAGTGGTTCAGTTGTCCAAATTCTCTCAATTTATTCAAATATTCTGAAAAAAAAAATACATGTGAGGAGAATGAGCTACATGGTGAGCTTCAGATTTTTATTATGAAGACGAATGATTTGAAAAAGTGTATGGATGTTTCCTTCACTTCTCTTGGCTCGCTTGTATTTTTCATGATGTATATGAAGTGGTTAAAGTGTATTGAATTGGAAGGAGATGAGAAGGAAATCATAGATTTTTCATCAGCTGTGTTCATATTCGATATTGCCTCATTCGCTACTGTCGATTTTTTGTTCATATAAAAACTAGTTGTTGCCTGTGGCTTCGCCCACGTAGAATTTGGTTTGTAACATCAAGTTTGGTGACAGACCATTTTAAACAAATAGTTACCTACCATATTTTTCCATCGACCCAAAACTTCAGATTTGCAACTTCAAAACTGACGAAATTCAATATTATCTTTGAACCCCTATTTTTCTCTCTTGATGCTTATTTACGCTATACAAAAAACCTACCTGCATATTTCAAGATTCTAGGTTTAGTAGCTTCGGCTGTACCATAATATAAGAGCGGGAAACAGCTAGTAATTTATATTTTCACTTTGAAAGTATAGTAGGTAACTAAAAAAGAAAAATGCCAACTGTACTTAGTATTGAATAGCTTCAAAAATCGAATTATGTTACCTATAGGCGAGAGGAAGGTAATTGTACGCATTTAAACAATATTTGTCATGAATCAAATGTTTTTATCGGTAAAAACTGCAGATTTGCCATAGTCGTTCATTCATATGTTTCCTTCAACACAGCCATCTCGAATTTTCTACAAAATAATAGGGGTTGATATAAAACAGATAAACCCGAGTTTTATGGTTTGAGTACCATTACCCTTCACGGCGGTTAATGAAACGCGTTTTGTCGAGCAATGATAAGCAAATGAAAACTGTTTGAAAAAATCGTGTTTATTGAAAATTCTTGGGAAATATCATAGATTCAAAAAAGTAAACTCATTCGTAATTGAAACTTAATAAAAACGAAAGCTTGACATTTAACTACACGCGCCCTAAAATTATAAACAAGTACACGCGTGGTGTATTTTATACACCAATAGAAAATATTACTGAAAACTAATTTATTATCTGTTGTTTAAAAACATATGGGTAACGTGCATTTCTAAAAATCACAAAATACTAAAAAATAAAACTTTAATGTTGAAAAAACACATATTAAATACTTATTTCAATATTAATACATGTGTTAACAAAAATAAAAGTTGTAAAAACTGAAACTAATTATTAGGTATAAGAAATTCCTAGCATAGGATATAAAAGGAAAATGTTAAATTCTATAAAATAAAAGAAAATGGAACAAAGGAAATGCCGCCAATTTTACCACGCTATTTCCTATTTAATTCAACCTGTTGAATAATTACAAATGCACCAACTCGGTACAAAATAGTTTTAGTTTTACTTCTACTTTAGGAAGAGTGGTATATAACTTCAAATTTTCGCCCTTTTTTTGTAATTGTGAAATGAATACTAGCTTATCAACTTGCACTAGGACATCAACAATATATAACCTTTTTGCAAATAGAAAGTGGACTCAGACAAAATAAAATGTGAACTCTCTCAATATCAACTGGTATGTAAAAAAAAACAAACACTCACATAAATAACGCCTCTTCTGGTGGTTCATGGTCAACCATAGATTCTGATGACCCGGTGTGTCTTCAACACCAACACTATCGGTTTACGGTTTCACTACCAATTTTTCCTAAATTTCGCACCACGCGCTCAGACAAAATAACTCCCCTATTTAGGCCACCTTCCCCAGCCTCGAAGGCTGAGGGATGAGACCCCCGATCTCGTCTCGACGAGTTCCGGTGACCGATTCTTTTGTGTCTTCCCGCAAAAATTCTCCCAAGCCGTCGCGTCAACAACGCTAGCCTTAAAAACCTCATCTCAGCGTTTTTTTTCACCTTCCCAAGCGTATGATCATCGGCAGGGAGCAATATATGCATTTGTTTAGTCTAGTTCAACTTTGAACATGACCACAACGACGCTCGAAGATCCGACAGTCATAACGTAATTTAGCGCTTTTTCAACTGGAAAAATATTGACACAGAAGAAACGGGTGATCGACCTCGAATCTATATGAATGAAATGATATTTTATGTTACTATCGCAATCTGTTTTCTGTTCTGTTAAAAATATGTATCTATCGCAATGGCAGTTATTACATTAGGATCATTTCGCAGTCGCTCCCAGAACAAAGGATTCATCCTCAATAAACCAGAACACTTCATATCAACTGTGCATGATCTTGACTTCCTAGAACCTGAATTTCGTAGAACCAGAATAAACCTAGAGTTGTTGAAATACTTGTGTCACAGTATACTATATACAGTAATCCCACTTCGGGTGATTTTTGGTTTGAATTTTCCACACGCAGACCCAGGAGTTGCAGTCTCAGGTCTGCGCAAACGACGAGTTCAAGACAGGCACGCAACCAAATCGTTTAAACACTGCTCAACATAACAAATATTCATATAAACTGCTCAAAAAAATACAGTCGATGAAAACCATGTTGGGCACCTAAGAAAATTGTACAAATGATAATTTTGCATTTGTGTAATATTCAAGTAACCCAGATCATTTCGACAATGATGAACTATGTTNAGCAGTTTATATGAATAGTTGTTATGTTGAGCAGTGTATACACGCTTTGGTTGAGATTGTAGTAGGGAGAAATGTCATTAGTGTCAAATACGTCATCATTATAAAAAATGAAACTCCTGGACACCGACATCAAAGGGACCGACGCTGAGTGAAACTACTGTATACAGAAATACTGTGCTTGTGTGCCACGAGTCTATCCAATTAGCAGCGACATTCAACGATCGCTTGGTCGTACAGGGCCATGCGTACCATTGCCCGCTGCGTGCGATTCCCCGCCCCTCCCCAAAAGAAGTTCGCAAAACTAATAGTCCGGTCAAATTAGACTGAAAATAAGAATGAAGGTACATAAATTTACAACAAGCTGCAAATACGTGTAATTATTCAAAACATAGGTAAAAATGAGATTTTAAAATTCCGAATGATTGCGATGCCTGGAACAAAAATGTATCTTAGGTCAAAGTTCAAACATCCCAAAAAAATTGGTTTTTTGCGATTTTCAGGAAAACGATGAGTTTTATTTATCATAAAATAAACTCAGATGAAAATTGTAGACCATAAAATTCTCTATAAAAAATGTATTATTACTTTTTTCCTTAGAGCCACCGTTTCTCAGATACGACGAGTCAAAAAGTTGTAAAAGTTCTAATCGTCATTATATGCATAAGTATGCCACGTGTATACATCTCTGAAGTTGTAATTGAAGTGAAAATATTTTTCTATTGGTATACATAATTGTAAATATAAGAATATCCGGTAGAATGAAATCCAGTCCCTATGATGATTGCACGAGAAATATTATAGCTCCAGAACAACGTCGTCGAACTTTAGCAACATCTTCATCTTCCGATATTCTATTTGATGAACTCATGACAGTTCCTACCAATCAACAGAAATTTCTTGCAAGTACTCACAACAAATCTCGGTTCATTTCAATGTTGAAGGATAAGTTTATTGGGGAAAATATATAGATTGAACAGGCTAATAACGATGTCGACGTACTGATTATTGAAACAGTATAGAGCAATTTAATTTGACAAATACAACTATTGTTGTTGTTGAAGATATGTAGACTTAAAACAGAAGGAAGTAGTGGCTTAGAACAAAGTTACCCATGGACCAAGATCACTTAAGACCCAGTAGTATTCGAGCAGAATGAATTTACCAAAAATACAGTACTAACAACCCCTTCGAACTTACTCGTACTTCTTACTGCTCGAACTCCACCTGGAAAAACTATTTTCTTTCTAAAGTCAGGAAAAGCTCAAAGTCAAACCGAAATATATTCGTCAAAAAGTTCATCTACTTTTGCAAAGAGTCAAAATCATGTACTATTTTTACACGCAATAACTGTCTGTGACACGATGTCTGCATTTTACAGAAGGGGTAAAGCAACAGTCGTTAAAATGTTTGAAAAACAAGATTTAGTTCAATGTGCTGAAGTTTTCAAAAAAAGTAATTCGACTCAACAAGAAATTATCACCAACGGGATTCAGTTTCTTCTTTCTATGTACTAAGCTCCGAAAAAAACAGTCATGTTCTAATGCTGAATCACCAATAGTGGAGGATTCATTTGATACCAACGAGGAAACATGCGATACATCACTCTTGACGCAGTTCACCTACACCCAGGATGAACATCAAGAAGAAGATCAAAGAGAAGAAGAAGAAGACCAAGAAGAAAAACTACAAGAAGAAGTACTTGAAAGTTATGATTCATCTGAGTCACATTCGCTATAAGACTAGCAAATAAAATTAAATATTTGAGAATAATGTTGGGTCCTACTTTCAGATGGAAAACTCGTGTGGACTACTCCACAAAAAAATTGAGATGTATTTTATATAGGTTCGAAAGATTTGTCGAATTCTTGAATAAAAAAGATAGATTAATTGTAAATTGATGGATGTAGCTGTTACTACGTGGTAGGAAATCATGATGAAGAAAAGAGAATTGGAACTTTTTATGTTTTTTACCGCTTTTATTTGTAACTAACGTTACTGCAGTTTCGACCTATAAGGACATTTTCAAACTTATACATTGAACTAACAATGATTTATTTTACATTAGCCGTTATATACCTCCCCTATAGGTAATAATACAGATACTTGGCTTGACTGAGTACCTGCGTACGTGCCAATTTGAAAACCGGTCAGTAAACTAAATCGATTTGATCATTCAACAGGTTGCACCCACAATATTTATGCTTGTGAATTTCCAAGAATTCTAAATAATTGAGTTTGCAACCCTTCCTTGCATAGTGCAAAGTTTCCGTATCGTTTAGATTCGGGAACTTGTGGTTCCCGAATCTAAACGTCGAATCATTTTTTCCTAGTCTGAAAGACCTTTCATGTTCAGCATACTGTTTTTGGAAATTTCGACCACATTGTCCCATATTAACACTATTACCAGCTGTAGCTTTCTTTATTACACATTGAATCATTATATGTAACATCTGCTGAAATTTTCCAATGACTTATCGTTCGTTTGATAGGTTAAAATATGAGTAGTGATTAAGATTTTATATATTTTAACTATTGATTTAAGTTTATTCCTCAATTTCCTCACCACGTACAAACTATCGCCCGGATGGTTTCTGTGGTTTCATATGTCTTTATTGAAGTGTTTTCCATTTCAACTTGTCAATAAAAATTCATTCATTCACATTCATGCATATACTTGACGAATAATTCAAAAAAGAATTCAAAATTCATCTCAAACAAATTTCATGACTATTACTTACTTGCAGGTATCGCACTGATGATGGCTCGAAAGCCAATTCATAAATAAATTATTTACACAAAAAAAGAATCTATTCCTGATTTAGTTTATTTCTAAACGCGTTTCACTAAAACCATAGTTTCCTAGGAATAGAAGGAATATTCGTAAAATTTAATCAATTAAAAACATAGATAGTCTTATAATATAGCAACTCACCTGACACAGGTTTTTTCATTTCTTCTACAGAAATCTCTCTGAGATTTTCAATGGGTACCTCTCGAGGAAATGAACTGATCAAAGTCACTTCATGACCTCTATCGGCTAATTCTTTCATCAAGCGGAATCCAACCATGAAATGACTATGGGCACAAAATGAAAATACACCCAGAATTTTGGCGCCATGAGTAATCGAGAAAATTGCACATAAATATAATATTCCGCGTATCATGTACATTTTGCTTTCGAAGCGAGGTACGCAACTGCAGATTATCTGTGAGATTTGTATACTTAATTACTCAAAAAGGTAGTGGCTAATGATCCTGGAACAAGCGAGACTACTGAGAAATTGTCGGGTGTAAGCCGGATTTTTTCCAAAGGAGGGAAAAAAATAGTTTTTCACTTCTATAATTTCTCGTCAGTAGTAGATTCTTTATATTGAATCACCAAGCTTCGATAACACTTATCAAACAGAAAATGAAATATAGGTTATAATTCAATAAAGGGTATTTATTCTACGAAAAAGTCTATTAGAATCTTCGGAAGGGCAAAAAGGACTGACAGCTGCAGACCTCTATTTGAAAAATTATTATATTAACCATTGCGGCTCGATACATATTTCAATGTCTCGTCTATATCAAAACACAAAACAACACCCCTCAAGTTAATCGCAACCATGAATATTTGAGCAGAAATGGCCAAAATCTTCTTATGCCACAACATCGTCAGGCAATTACTGATGAAACCTTTTTTACTGTTTGTTTGAAGGTGGTTGACAATGTTTCGTAGTTCATTAGTTCAGACTTCCATTGTCTAATATGATATAAATTGATTACTTTATTTTTACCATACATATTTTTGCCTCCATCAGCTGTTATAGATTTCAAGTTTCTCCATCGAAGGTTCTTTTTATTAATGGCATTTTCAACTCCCTTAAAAATATCTGCCCCAGTTGTCGTGCCGTGAACACTATCAAGAAGTTCTCCATACCCATACTAACAAATTTTCAACTCCCTTAAAAATATCTGCCCCAGTTGTAGTGCCGTGAATACTATCAAGAAGTTCTCCATACCCATACTAACAAATCACACATAAAAACAATAAGTCAAATCAAAATACTTTTATTGACGGGTGTTCCTTCCTTCGCCTTTCCTACGCAGACTAACTCGCAGTTGCGCTGCTAGCCTTTTTATATGCAATTATTACTGCCATCTCGAGGTGATCG